TACTAATCATCTATAACATTAGAGATTCATAATTTTTCTGGGTAAGTCTAAATAAGGACACATAATTTTCTTCAAAAGACAATGTGCTAAGTTCCTTTTTATAGGGAGTTCTTTTCTGTCAATTGTACATATTTAGGGTGCACAACATGTTTTAATAAATATATACACTGTGGAATGGCTGAATCAAGTTATTTAGCATATGCATTACCTCACATCCTTACTTTTTTGTAATGAGAACACAAGATCTATTCTCAAAGCAATTTTCAAATATACTGTAAATTGTTATTAACTGTTGTCCCTATAATATACAATGGATCTCTTGAACCTATACCTCTTGTCTTAAAGAAATTCTGTGTCCCTTGACCAGCATCTCCTCAATCCCCCAAGCCTAAGCCTCTGATAAGCACCCTTTTACTCAGCTTCTATGAGTTTAACTATTTACACTCCACATATAAATGAGATCATTCAGCATTTGTCTTTCTGTACCTGGCTTATTTCACTTAACACAATGTCTTCCAGGTTCATCTATTTTGTTGCAAATGATAGGATTTCCTTCTTTTTTTAAGGCTGAACAGTATTCCATTGGTACACATACCACATTTCCTTTTCCTTTTATCCACTGGCGGACATTTGTGTTGATTCCATTAGCTACTGTGAATATTGCTGTAATGAACATGAGAATGCAGTTAACTCTGACATACTAATTTCCTTTCTTTGGGGTGTACACATTAAGTCCCCTAAGTACCCTATATACAAACCTTCAAGTTGCAAGCTTTCAAAGATGTGAATGTGCATTTGCATGTCCAAACACATGTTAGTTCACATGTCTGACATACATTGTCACATGTACACATACTCTACAAGTGCTTGTGCTTTTGTGTACTTTACTGTATAGTACTGCATAGAGTACACTGGTATAACACCTTTATTTCAAGGCCAGGATGTCCAGAACTAAGTATAAAAGCAGTAGTGGGTTATCAGTTTGGTACATATGCTAACTTTGTTAGACTTATGAAAAAATTGGATTTACAAATGCGCTCTCAGAATAGAATTCTCATATGTAGGGGACTCAGTAGTAGGGCAGCTAGATCACATGGTAGTGTTTTATATATATATATATATATTTTAATAAAGCCAGGGTCTCACTTTTTTGGTCAGGCTAGAGTGCTGTGGCATTATGACTCATTGCAGCCTGGACCTCCTGAGCTCAGGCGACCCTTTCACCTCAGCCTCCAGAGCTGCTGGAACTACAGCAGCATACCACCACCATGCCCAGCTAATTTTTTTAATTTTTTTGTAGAAATGAGGTCTTGCTACGTTGCCTAAACCGGTCTGAAACTCTTGGGCTCAAGCAATCCTCTTGCTTCAGCTTCCCAAAGTGCTGGGATTAAAGGCATCACTGTGCCTGACGGGTTCTATTTTTAATGTTTTGGATAATCTCTATTGTTTTCTATAAGAGCTGTACTAATTTACATTGCCACTAATGGAGTACAAGGGTTCTCTTTTCTCCATATCCTCATCATACATAGAGCATTTTTTTATTCAAAGAAAAAAGAAAAAAAAACTCTCATAATTTAATGCAAAAAAAAGTAAACTAGAAAAATTGTTATTTTTAAATTTTTGTAGAGATGAGAGATCTCACTATGCTGTCCAGGCTGATCTCAAGCTCCTCAAGTGATTGATCCCACCTCAGCCTCCCAAAGCACTGGGATTACAGGTATGAGTCATCGTACTTGGCCTGAAAAATTCTATTTTAATAATTGTAAAAGAGAAAAAGGTGTAAAGGACATAAAAGAGCAAATTTCAAAGAATATTAATGTTAAATAAATATGAAAAAAGTTCAACCTCATCAGTATTCAAACAAGTACAAATTAGAACAGTATGAAACTATTGTTCACCTATCAACTTGACCATTTAAAGAAAAAAATAATTAGAGCAAAGGTGAGGTGAAATAAGCACTTGTTCACAGTAATGAGTATAAACTGATAGTCTGTAAACTGGAGGGCAATTTATGAATGAATGAAATAAGCTCTAAAACTAATGAATCCTTTGAAACTACAATTTCAGCACTAGAATTTAATAAAAAGGAAACAATGTGCGAGACCCATTGGCTAGCACCTGTAATCCCAGCTGTGGAAGGCCAAGGCTGGAGGACAGCTTGCACCCATGAGTTTGAACCAGCCTGGGCAATACAGCGAGACTCTGCCTCTACAAAAAATAAATAAAAAATTAGCCGAGCATGGTGCCATGTGCTGGCACTCCTAGCTACGCAGGAAGCTGAGGCGGAAAAAATCACCTCAACCCAGGAAGTTGAACCTGCAGTGAGCCGTGAACGTACCACTGCACTCCAGACTGGGCAACAGAGTGAGACTCCAACTCAAAAAAAAAAAACAAAAAGTTTAGAATAAGAGTCAACATCATGAGAAAAACATTCATATGTTAGGGGAAAACTGCAGGTTAATATATAATAAATGTAAATCAATAAAAGAATCCCAAGACTATCAGATATGTATGTGCACACACATATACATACATATACACATGCACATATGGTATCCCCACACTAAATAATCGAGACATCATTTCATTCTCACCCCTAAAGGAAAATACTTTCATTTTTGGAGAAACTGAGCAGGCTTCAAAACTCAGGTATCCTTGGTAAAGAAAAAGATGGAGCTAAAAACAAGCTGATGATACTTCTGTAAAATGCATAAACTAAACTACATTTTTTAAGAAAGAGCTTTGGGGCCAGGCACAGTGGCTCACGCCTACAATCACGGCACTTTGGGAGGCTGAGATGAGAGGATTGCCTGAGACCAGCCTGGGCAACTTGGTGAGACCGCATCTCTACAATAAATAAAAAAATTAGCCAGGCATGGTGGCACATGCCTATAGTTCCAGCTACTTAGAAGGCTGGGGGGAAGGATTGCCTGAGCCCAGCATGTTGAGGCTGCAGTGGCCGGGAGTGTGCCACTGCCCTCCAGCCTGGGTGACAGAGTGAGTCTCCAACTCAAAAAAAAAAAAAAAAAAGAAATAGAAAAGAGATAGACATCAAAACAGAATACTGTCACCTCATTTTTTACCCATTCTAATGCCCCCTTCTTTTTTTGGAGTTGGGGTCTCACTCAACTCCAAAAAAAACAAGAAAAGAAAAGAAAGAGCTGTGGGAAATTAAACATATGGCAAATGCTAAAAGTACAACAAAACTGAGGAACTTAATTAAAAGGCTAGAACCTAAAGTTGAGACAATCTCCCAAAAAGCAGAAAAAGGCAAAGAAGTAGAAAATAGCAGAAAATAAGGTGACCTAAAAGGATCTATTCAGGACATCTAACATCAAATTAACTGAAATTTCAGAAAAACAAAGCAGAATTTTACAGGGAAGAAAAATATCAAATAAATAAAATAAATTTTCCCCAAAAAGGTCAGTATCTCAAATGAAAGATTTCATGAACCAAGAATGGAATCCATCACCTCAGCCCTATCCTCACACACACATTAGGCACACCATCATGAAATTTCAGCACACTGAAAATCTTTTTCTGTTCAAGTATCCCATTTAGGATACCACAGTACTGGGGATAAAGAAAATATCCTAAAGATTACAGAGGAAAGAAAAAATTTAAAACAGATCAGTTAAAAGATCACGTAGCTGCACAACTGAACTCTTTCACAGCAATAGTACATAGGTGCCAGAAAGCAACACAGCAGTGCCTTCATGATTGTGAGTGGGAAGAATTTTTAACCTAGAATTTTATAATCCCCCAAACTATCAATCAACTACAAAGGAAGACATATACAGACCAAAAAAAAAAAAAATCAAGAAATTTCACTACACATGCATCTTTTCATAGGGAGCGCAAGTAAATTAAGACATAAACAAAGGATGAGATCCAAGGGGGACCCAGTACAGGAGAACAAAGGAGAATAAAGCAGGATGCACACTGTGCAGCTTGCTCAAAGGGTAACCAGTTCAAGCTGATGTACAAGAACGGAGAAAAATAAGACCTTCGGGGAAAATACGGGGAACTGGTAGATTCTCTCTTATCACAGAACACAGAGAACAGTATAGAAAAGTAAGCAATAGGTACACTTATTAAATTTAATTTTAATATATATCAATATATTCCTGGAGAGAGATATGTATACATATTAAGAGGACCGTAATAAAGTATACCACAGACTTAGGTTAAGAGCATGCTATAACCCAATAAATATGTAATCAGCTTGTGGACAACAGCACAGCCATTTTTAGTTTTCTGTCTTAAAACATAACCTGTAACTGTTTAAAGTTCCAGTTATGGGAAAAACTGCAAAGCTTCAACCCCTTCCCTTACCTCACTTTCCCCTTAGCAACATCCAATCAGGTGCCAGGGAGTAATCACCTAAGTTTCCAGATGTCTCTGCAACTTCCCTAGCTAGTGGACCAAGGTCAGCCCGAGTCAGGCTAGCCAATCCTCCACGATTAAGCTGACCACCAGTGGTTGCTACCCAATTGAATGGTAACACAACTGGAAAGCCCCCCCAAACTCCTCCTCCCTTTGTGTAAAAGCATAAAAGGCATCTGCTTAAGGAAATCAGAGCCTCTGAATGTACTCCGCTGTGCCGGCTGTCGACAGAGGCCCAGGCTCGAGCTTATAAATAAAGACCCTCTTGAACTTTCATCGGAATTGGCTCTTGGTGGTCTCTCGGATTGAACTTTCAGCCACTACATTTGGGGGCTCATCCGGGATCCCAGAGACCCCCCCCCCCCCCGAGACCCCAGTCTGGAGGGTTTTCAGGCCGACATTCGGTAAGTCGCTCCCGGGTTAGTGCATCTGTGTTCTGTGTCTCAGGTGGAGCTCCACACTTTGTTCTGAGGTCGGCATCAGGCTAGGCGGACGCACTGGAAAGCCGCCAGCCGGGGCTCATGGGAGACGTCTCACGTCCCCATCCGGAAGACAAGGTCTTCATCTGTGGGGAAGGCCAGACTCGTCGACAGTCTGTCTCTCCCCTATTGTACTTTCAGATTTGTTTTCGCGGCCGCTACTGTCTGTCTCTTGTCGTTTTCCCTTTTCGTCTTGTTGGTTGTGTTTGTTGGGGCGACAGTACTGACGAGTGAGATGGGACAGACACAGACAATGTGCGTCACCGAGTGGCCTGCCTTCAACGTAGACTGGCCACAAGAAGGGACCTTTCTAACAAGTGTTCTCTTGCAGGTCAAGAGTGTGTTGTCACAGCCTCGCGAGAAGCAGAATCCCTTCCATAAGTCCCCAAAGAACCCCTTTTACCCCGTTCTCCCTGATTCTAACTTGAAGAGATAATTTTCCCCCCCATACCAGTCAGCTCCCTCTAAACTTTCAGCCCCACCAGCGCCACCCCTCCCCCCCCTGCTCTCAGCCCGCGTGCGGAGCTGCGTGTCCCAGAGGCTCCGGGACCGTGGCGGCAGGCGGCGGCGGCAGAGCAGCCCTCCGAGGGCCATAACGTCTCCAGCCACGGCGAGGACCTCCCCTGGAGGGAGTCGGGAAACGGCGCCCATGTCGCGGAGCCGAGGCCGGTTCTGGGAAGTGGGCGGCGACCGGCTGGAGCGCGCAGCTGCAGAGTCAGAGTGCTGGGAGCTGCTGCTCCGCCGCGGTGAGCCGCTGGCGCTGGGCAGCCACCTGAAGGCAGCGCTGCGGGGCCCCAGCCAGGCCCAAGTGCCTCGGCACCCTGGTGGACTACCTGGTGTTCAACTACCGGCTCCGCCTGCTGGAACGCAGCCCCCGCTGCGGCCATGGGCATAGGCACCGGCGGCATCCTCAGCTGCCTTGGCTGCTGGGGCTTCCTGAGCGAGCTGGTGACCGTGCCCTGCTGTGGCAGGAGGCGGCATATGCTCAAATATATTTCTTGTGTGATTGAGTGAATAAACACAGAAACACATGTGACTGATTCGGGATCAGCAGTTGGCCTCACCTGGGCCGCCACTAGCCCAGTGGCAAGAAGGAAAGGTTAATAGCAGTTAAAGGTATTTCCCTTTGAAAGGCAAGTTGCAAGTTTAAAGGCCTGCCTGGTGTTAAGCAGGTTTTGTTTAAGAAAGGCCAAATGGCCCAGAGACTGGCTATTTCATGGAAATGAAAAAGAGTCTTATCTAAAACCGCCCTTCTGAAGTTGACAGTTTACAAACCTGCAGTTTCTGGAAATCATTTGTTCTTTGAAAAATCTGATTTTGCTAAGTACAACCTTGTAAGATTCCAAAGAAAGTATGTAATCACTCAACACGACCCCCCTCCCTTACCTAAACGAGGGTATAAGTTCTCGGCCCGTGCTGTGCTAGCCAGTGTAATAAAGTGCCACTTCCTATAATAGTCTCAGTGTCATGATCTCTCTATTTTTCCTGCTACATTTCTGGTACGTCAGCCGGGAAATGGAGATTGGAGACGGTGTGTTCCACCTCCTTTGTCATCGAGGTGCCACCTCCAGGGCAACGGGAAGGGCAATCTCGCCTGGCGCACAACGGACTTTTTGATCCGTAGGAGAGAGGTCCCTCCCAGCACACTGAAGCTCGGACTACGAAAGCACAACAGGGACCCAAGAGGCAAGGAACTGGCACAAGGTCGACCACCTGACAGAAAGGACAGAAGGACCACCCAATGGAAAGGGTAGGAATAAAGGCCTTTACATAGACCTGCCAATGGATGGCAGAAGGGGAGCTTGATGACCTCCTGGAGCCCGCCAGTAATCTTCCAGCCTGAAGGAAAGGGCTGAAAGCAGTGGAAGGAAACACTGCCTGAAGATGAACCCGTAGACTCCTAGGATTAGGACGAGTTGGCGAATGTGCTGTGTGTTTATGTGTGAATGAGATGGACGGCGGGAAGGTTCCACATAGTTAGTCTGCGTTGGGGGTGTACCAACCTACCAATTGCCAAGAGGTGTCTGAGATATCTTCGTGAGGAGTATAACTGAAGGGAGACAAAGCAGATATTTCCCATACCTGTCATTTTCTTATTTGTGTGTGCCTGTCACTTTAAATATGCTAAAAGGCTGGTTGAGTTATTATGCTTTGTGTGATGGGGCGTCATCTTTTAAAAACTTGGTTGGCGCATATTTCTTGATGTCATTTTATGTCTCCCTTTGTTTGTGTGGTGTTTTCTCCTAACCCGTTGGCACTGTTAAAATTTCTGCCTTTTGTTGTTAAGGTTGTGGAAAATTGCCTGTTGTGTATAAGGAGTGTTACTGGTTGTCTTAAATTCTTTCTGGGGACCACTCCCCCTCCCTTCCTTAGCCTGTGTTCTCCTTTGTAAATTCTGAAGGGGCTCATTCTAATCTACCTGTAAAGAAACGGAGAAATGTCTCTTATATACTACCTAGCCTTTTGTTAACTCAGTGTAAGTTAATGCTAGCCTTGGAACTAATCTTTCTCTGGCAACTAAGGAAATGAATAGGCTGTTCTCGTTTCAAATACTAAAAGCCAGG